CTTTGTTAGGAAAGACAAGGCACTAACAAAGAATGCCTGACAAGATAACAACGGAAGAATACTCAAGTCTATACTTTCCCTTCTCGATTTGAACTAAGAGAAGACAAACAACCACAAGCAATATGATAGTAAGGCAGCAAGTAATTCAACCAAACAAATATAACAAGACAATAATAAACCAATCACACAAGACACCAAGATTTACGTGGAAAACCCTTCGATGTGAAGAGTAAAAAATCACGGGACCAAAAGCTCCACTATAATCACCAAGAGTTACAATATCGTTCTCTAAAATTGGCCACAAAACAAGTGTCAAACAACGAGCAACAACAAAATAAGATTGCACCAAATCTAGAGAATTAAAGGAGCAAAATCACCAATTTCGCAGCTACTGTTCACGACAGCAAAACTGAAGCTGCAGGCCACCAAATCCAACTCTGTCAGTTCCTAATCAAAGATTGAGATGAAGATAATATGCTGTCCAAAAATCAGCTCAATCGGACAAAAGACGAAGCGGGAATAGCAATTTGAAGTTGGCTGTTAGGGCTGAATTTTTGACTGCGAAAATCTCTCTTTCTCTCTTTTTGGCTGCTGAAAAAACACTCTTGTATGTCTGAAAATAAGACCCTAAATAGGTTTATATTTGCCTCATAAGAATGAGCCTATGGGCAAAAATGGGTTGGTCCAAATTGGACTTTTATTTATCCACATAGGAAGGGAAAAAAGGTCCATAACCCAACAAGACCATTCTTGAGTTTAAGCAACAACGCCTTTTGACCGCCCAAACAATGACCATACACTGGAGAATTAATCAGAAACACCACCAGCACGGTGATGAAAGAAAGCTGTAGCAAGAGTGATAATTTCATTGTGAGGCAATGTTACAAAAAATGCAGTAATGATATTGAATGATGTGTAACATGTATACAAATAATATTGGCCGGCACACGCATAGAAATATTAAGCAATATCCACTAAAGTTACTGTGTTGCTCCAATTTTGAGTTTTGAAAAAGTAAAGACTGCATCACCATTTTGTCGAATGAGGTCCTACTTCAGATGTTTTAAAATACAAACAAAGTTGATGTTTCTGTCTTTTAATTTATGCATAAGATGGTGAGAAAGGCTACTCTTTTATCTCTTATCTAGTCTTCAGTCTCTAAATTTTCTGTTGACTTGTGTTGTGCATATGCAAGTCAACCTAAAATGTTAATCACATAAGGCTAAATTTGAAAACTTCCAAGAATTTACCTCGTCTGAATACAACATTCAGAAGTTTTTCCAATCTTATTTTATGCTCATATTTAACCAACACGTTCGTAAACCTGCATACGTGATCTGTAGATGATACAAAATAAAGTTTCTGCTGAACCTAATAATTGTGTATATATTCTGTGTCGTGGGCATCCATTAATACGCACAAGTCAAACAATCCAATTGGCATATCCATCAGTCTTTATCTAGCGAGGAACCGTCAAATTCATCATTTACCAATCTTCGATAGTCTAATCAACATTGAAATGGATGTCCTGGCTAACATTAGGTAAAATCATTCATACATAACACAAAAAGATAAACTAAAAAAGCTACTCATAAAAGTACCAAGTTAAATTAAACATTATTTTTGTATGCAGAAGCGCAGCTCTAGACGTAGCTTGTGATTTAGAACCAAAACTAACAGAGACAACTTAGACAAGAAAACTCAAGTACAAGTAATCATGTGTAATCTAGTATACTAAGCATTAACCATGTTTGCTACTCCTCTATTCGGCTTGATACAAAACCAACCCCTAAAACTTGTCAAGATACTTCATTTAGACGCTCGAATTATGCCCTGTTTCAATTGAATATCTCAGCTCCTACTAATCACTTTAAGAGGGAGTGTGAAGAATACTATCTTTGATATTTGTTATACTTAAAGAAATGTGTAGATATTGTAGAGCCTTGCCAGATCATCATAAAAATCATTTCCTATATTCAAATTCAAACACCATATATTCACCAAGTTCATGTAAAGGAAATGTAAGTGAACAAAGTATAATGAACTCCTTCAAACAGAATGTAAAAGATCAAACATCAAAGCTATACTATAGCCTTATTTTTCTTGGCCTCCTTTGGTTTTTATTCTTTCTCCTCCTTTTGTGCCGACCCAAAATTCTTAAAAGAAGTCCATCAACGAGCTCATTGTATCTTTGGCTATGCAAAAGAAGCCAGGTTACGATGCCAAAAGCCATAGAAGATCCCAAGGAAAAACTTATATATTTCCCATCAATTTCATGTTCAGAATGGTTGTTAGGTTGTGATGATCCATTCACTTTGGTTTCACTGCACGTTTTCTTTAAAGGTACACCGCACAACCCAATGTTCCCTTCAAAGGAATCTGCTGAGAATGTCTGAAATTGGTTGCCACTTGGAATCCTACCAGATAGTTGATTAAAAGATAGGTTCAAGAAAGCAAGAAATGTGAGACTCACGAGCTCGTCTGGAATTCTCCCGCTTAAATGGTTACCTGAGAAATCTAAGGATTCAAACTGAGTCAACTTTCCAAGAGCCTTTGGTATTCTTCCAGTCAAAGCATTATGTGAGAAGTTAAGATGGATAAGTGATTTGAGATCTCCCAATGTCTCAGGTATCTCCCCTTGAAAGTTGTTGCAAGAGAAATCAATGGATGTTAAAACTACAAGAATTTTCACATATTCCACTGTTAGACCTTTGATAGTTAAAGTCACCTTGTCTTGATACAGACTATCAACATGCAAATAATGCTCCCCTGGGTCTAGATTTCTGCTTTGCATCATGCCTTTCAAGTTCGAGAAGTATTGTGGTAGCAGTGCACCGCTGAAATTATTGTAAGCAAGATCCACAATTTGAATACTTGACCAGGTTTGATTAGCAACAGAACACTGGAGATCCCCGTAGAACTTGTTCAACCTCATAACTAGTACATGCAAATTGGAAAAATAATGAAACATGCATGGGAATGTATCTTCAATCTTGTTGTTTCCAATGTTCAAAACCTCCAAAGGTTGACATGTAAGCAGGGATCTTGGAACTGTTCCTTCTAAGATATTGCTGCTGAGGTCTAAAGTTCTCAAACTACAATTTAGTGGAAATGTGTCCGGAATAGTGCCACTTAGTTTGTTTCTCCCAAGATTCAGTACTACGAAACGGTCAGCCTTTTGGAATAGACATGAAGGTATTTTGTTGTTAAATGAGTTGTTTGACATATCAAGAAATTTAAGCTGATATAGATTGCATATGAAAGAGGGTATTGATCCCGTAAATTCATTATTGGCAAGTGATAAGAAAGTAATACTACCTCCCCATCTACTAAGGTGATACGTAGCAGCAATGTCAGGTGGTAGAAAGGGTGGTTTACCCTTGATCCTATTGCAACTCAAATCAATGGAAAGAGGAGTGGTAGACATGTGAGATTGTTCTAGAGACTCCAGGAGGTTGTGAGAAAGATTCAAAATTCCAACTTTCCAAACCCAATTTGGTATTCCCCCTCTAATTTTGTTGTCCGAAAGGTCTAATTCAAATAAGAATGATTGGTTTTTGAGATCAGGAAACTTCTGCAACTGGCATGAAGCCAACCTCAGGTGGTGCATCTTAGCTGGAAAGGGAAATGAGGTTGAATTACTTACAATTCTCAAGTTGTTGTAAGAAAGGTCGAGGGTGGTTGGCCTAGGAAGTCCGCTAATCGCTTCAAGATTAATGGTCCCACTGAAAGAGTTGGAAGAAAGCACTAGTTCAGAAAGACTTTTGAGTTGAAAGATAGACCGCGGAATAGATCCATTCAGATGATTATTATGCAAATCAAGTGTATCAAGAACAGAAGAGGATGCATTTGAAAATTCATGGATTTCTCCACTTAAACGACTGTTCTGAATACTGAGAAACTGCAAGGACGGGAGGGAAAGGAGAACTGCAATTTGAGTTTGAGTGGAAGAAAATGGACCATTGTTATCAGAAAGGTTAATGTAAACGAGCTTCTTTGCCTTATGAAAGAATGGGATCGAGCCAGTAAAACTGTTAAATGACAAGTCTAGGTAAACCAGATCTGTGAGACTTCCCATTTTTGATGGAATATCTCCACTGAAATTGCAACTTCCTATGTCAAGCCGGGTCAAATTCCGAAGGTTAGCAATTGAATCCGGTAGGGGACTGGTGAATCCCGTGTTACGAAGCACTACTTCCCTTAATGCACTCTTTTGTGGAAAGTCAGGTAAAGTGCCAGTAAGGTTTTCATTGTATGATAAATCAAGCTCCTGAAGAGTTTGTACCTGAAAGATTTTACTAGGAAATGGACCAAACAATTTGCAGCTCCGGAGACTCAATTTTGTAAAATTTGCTATAAATTCAGGAACTCTACTAGTGATTACTTCATGGTCCAGCTCCAGAACAAGCACATGACCTTCTTGATCACAACTTACACCTGGCCACAGGCAACAGTCGGTGTTTACATCCCATTTAACCAGTTTGGTTGATCTAGAAGAATTGAACGTAAGGCTTTTCTGGAGTTTAAGCAACAACGCCTTTTCATTGCCCAAACATTGGCCACACACCACTAGCACAGTAATGTAAGAAAGTTGTAGCAGGAGTGATATTTTCATAATGAGGCAATATTATGAAGTGAAGTATTGAAAATGATGATGAATTCTATATATATATAGACAAAATAATCTAGGCCGGCACTCGCGAAGACAAGAATTTTTTTTTGGAGAAGTCAAGCCAGCTTCATTGTTTTGTCTAATGAGGTCCTACATCACATGTTTTAAAATCTAAACACCAGTTGATGTTTCTGTCTTTTCTTTTGCAGATGAAACGACTAGACTAATTCCAACTTGGTATAATTTCGCTTTGTAGTTTTGTGTTGACTTGAGTTGTCCATATGCAAGTCAGCCTAATATCACTAACCTAAGGTATAAATTTACACAACTTAAGCTTGTAATTGACAATGCAATG